GAGAAAACCCTAGATCAAGTTGTTTTCTTTGTTGTGTGGAATGGTGGCGCATGTGTGTGTGCGTATGTGCATACATGCCAAATCTGGATGCTGAAGGAAAGGGCTGAACACAGCTAGATGCAGAAAGAACTCTTCTCCATCATAGTTTTAACTATCCTAAAAGCAGAATTTTCTGTCTAGTGGTCTCCAGGCAGGTGGGGTCAGAGAGAATCATGGGAGCTGTAGGAAAAGGCATACAATATGCTACCATAAGCTGTAGCTTAGGAAAAACGCATAAAAAAAATACTTTCTAAGTGTTGCTGCAGCATCTTTCACCCCTTGCCATATCATATGAGAATTGTGATTCAGCAGCATCTACACAATTACATCATTCCTGTTTCTAATTTAGAGGATTGCGGTTCTGCAGAATGATTTATAAGGATAGCTTTAGAAATCTGATGCAGATACCCAGAGTGAAACAATTGTTTATTTTCTCCTCCAATTTGTGGTTAACATGCAAAGATCTGTCCAAGCCTCAACAAAAGAGTTACAGACTCAATTTTCTGGATAAAAATACATTGTCTAACAAGGTGACCTTGACTTCATTTCATCATATATATGCAAACACAGATTGCATCTGAATTCTCACTCAACTGAGCTGGAGGATTCTATTCTTATTTCTGAACCTTTTCAACAACTATTTTCAACAAGATTCAAAGAAGGAGGATTTAGGGTGATAAAATATTCCCTAATCCAATAATCCCTCTTCATACCTGGGAAAGATAGTATCTGCCTACAGTTTAGATTAAAGGTATCAATTAATGTAAGATGAACAACAATATTTGTCCCTACAAATATTGAACTGAACTGAAGAAGTTTCTTGAATGAGAAGCAAAACATTTTCAAGGGGAAAACAAAGTCCAGTTGCCTTTTGAAAAAAAAAATATATTTGGGATATTTATCCCTACAGTTTAATCTCACTTATTATTGGAAATATTTATATAATACTAATACTACTATTTAATTAAAATATAATGCTGTAAACTATTTTCAAGAAACTTTAATTGCATTTTTAAAAATTTAAATTGTTATCAACCACTATACAGATTTTGCTGCTTCAGATCCCAATACATCATTGGTCAACCCCGTTTCCACACGCCAAGAAGTTCATATGTTTTGTAGGTTAATTTGTAGGTTAATTACCTACAAAATAAAAATGCACCGGAATGAATTCCTATGAAGGAAATTACGAAGTAGAAGGTGAAGTTGGTGCCTGGTCTTCATCTGCTCATTCATTGGAAAAGACCCTGTTGTTGGGAAACATTGAAGACAAAAGAAGAAGGGGACAGCAGAGAATGAGATGGTTGTACAGTGTCATCAATGCAATGAACATGAATTTGGGCAAACTGCAGGAGAGAGCGGAGGACAGGGGGGCCTGGAACGCTGTGGTCCGTGGAGTCGCAAAGAGTTGGACAACTTAGTGACTGAACAACAGCAACAACCTCAACAGCTGCCTACCTCTCACTTGCAAGCCCCACAGAGAAGGATTCCAAGTAACAGGTTAAAGAGCAGAAATATGATTCATGGTTCTTGCATATGTGTTTGAACTCTAAAGTTTCACTGGAATCAATTTGTAAAGTTCTAGTTTGTGGAAACCAGAAATGTGATATTAATGATGTGTCCTAGACTTTTCAATAGGGCCTCTGGAAGGTGATTCAGGAGAAGGGACTTGCTTCGGTCTGAGCAAAGCATTTAACTGTATCCAAACGCTGCCAAGAACAATCATCTGTTTTCCTCTCACTTAACTTGTTGGGAAAGGCAATAGAGCGGATGGGAGAAGTGAAGATTCAGAGCAATGAATCATGAAACTAAAGATAATGACAGCAATCACATTGAAATTAGTTGCAAGTATTTTGCTAATTTGGGTAAAAGCATACATATGGTGACAGATCATAATCTTGGTCTTTTAATCCAGGACTGGCCATTTGAATGCCCTATATAGGACAGACAGCCAAGAGGATGCTGGTGCAGAAAGCTGATTTGTATTTATTTATTGACATAAACATGATTAAAGTGCAAGCATCATGTTTATAACAGAAACTAAGCATAACTGGCTTTTATTCAGATCCAGTGATTTTTAATAATAATTGCTGTAGTACAGCATCTAGCAATTTTTCTGGAAACTTTGGAATATTGATCATTTAGTAAGAAATGCACAATTGCCTGTTTAGGATCAAGCTGAGTCGTTTATGATTTAGCAGGGAGATTAGTTCCAACCTTCAGGTGAGGGACAATTCCAAAGTGCTTGTGTGACTGATCCAATTTCAGTATCTCAGCATGTGCATAAGCAGTCTTAATGGGCAATAAGACTGGATCTCTGCTGTAGAAGAGCACAAGAATGAGGTAAAATATTTGGGAATGGTAAGGGATTAACACAAAATCCTTAATGAAGTAGAGGTCTGCCAAATCAATTCTCTGCAAATAAAGATCTAAGGTTCTTTGCTTGTTTCCACTCCAAACTGTTCAAAATCCAGCATTGATATAGATAGGATGGTAAAACAGATCTGACATAATTTGATTTTTCCATTGGAAAGTATGTCTATCAGTCCAAGATGAGCCAAGGACTCTCCTCCAATTATTTGATGCAGTACTTTAACAGAATGGGCTTCAAATGAAACATCCAAACCAAAGGAGTGTTTCTGAAACGGAGCAGGGAGCAATAAGAATAGATCTCAGAAATGTACAGTAGATTGAACTGCTTATGCACAGCAGTATCATTATACTGTACAGACAACACTGTGTGCCATACTGCAGAAGGCATAATATTTCAGCTTTGAGTAATTTGATTGGTGAAGGAAGAAAGGCCACAAACAGCAAATTATATCATTTTATTCTTTCCTGAAAGTGGAAGATATCTCAGCTTACATCAGCAATGGGATTCTTTTTTTTTTCAACTCTGCCAGTTCTGTTATATAGACAAATATCTAAGACTTTGAAATTTGGCTAACTTTCAACAATCAGGAATCTATTCTGTCTTTGTTTCTGTATATTTAATGCTTCTGAAAAAATTAATATTGCCAGAATCTCATATCTATAACCTAATTCTATATTTAGATATAGCTGCAGAATGCAAATAAGTTTTTATTCCCTGATGGGCAGTGTCTCCATCTGATGTACATAACTAGGTTCATACACTGCTTTTGTTGAATAAAACATCCTGTCCTAGTTTGCATATTATGCAAAACCAAACATACAGGCTTACAAACAATAATGGTTGGCATTATATTTATAACTATAAACAAATAAACCCATATCACTTAGTGCTCTGTATGAATTTACTGCCTTAATTTCCTTTTGCCAACAGACGTTACTTGACTAGTTTTGTAAGGGATAGCCAGTGAGATTCAAGGCTGAGCAAAGATTTGAACCTGACACTTCATAAAAAGGGAAGACCGACTTCAGTATATTTAAATACCCATTTACATTGCAAGCCCTGTATATCTCATCTCTTCTGTTTCAGATTGATATTCACTTTATTAAATACAGTATATATGGTAATACTTGGTTTTACTAGTTTGTGGGATGCTCAATTCCCAAGGGTTTTTTTTTTGGGGGGGGGAAGGTACTAATTAAATGGGGGGAAAAGACAGTAACAAATTTAGATTTGAAAAAGAGCTAAATTGAAAAGCCTGGATGAAAAAAATATTTTAGGAAAAAAATGACTTTAGCAGAGGAAAGCTGGGATGGGCACGCCACCATGGGGCTGACCCAAAAAAGAAGATCCTTTTGCTTGGATCACCTACTGCCTCTAATGGCACATACTTCTGATACAGGGAAAAATTCTGCAGAAGATCTCTAGGTAACTGTAATAACTGAGCACATTTCTGTGGAAAAATTTCTTCAAAAGAGCTCTCTGTCTTCATCCCCTTAGCCCAAAGTATACCTGTTATATATTTAACTATACTTTTTCTTAAGTGACTAGTATAGAAAGCTATTTAATGTTTTCCTTCCAGAGACTATTTTGTTGAAAATCTGCTCCTGGCTGTTTTTCACTTGTGTGGTAAAGACATATTTGTAGCTTGTAAAGAATGTTAGGCTTCAGCAAATCCTACTTGCAGAAGCTGTTTTGAACTGAACAAAAGAAAAAGTTAGAGGACCCACTAACATTTGATTGATATCTGTTGTCATTCCCTGAAACTGTCTAAATGTAGGTGACAAGTTCCTCAAACGAAGAATTCAGCCATTGCTAATATAAATAAATCGAAGCTGTGCACGTCTCCTGCGTGCTACATGTGCCAACAGTAGGATATAAATAATACAGTACTCCTCTAACAGTAATATTGCATACTGAGATCTTGCTGAGAGTTAAATTTCTGCACCTTCCTCTCCCTTCTCTGCTCAGCCAGCATCTGCCAGTGGCAAAGATGTGACTAAGACCGGAGAACAGTTAGGTAGGAACTGATAATTGGGAAAGCACTGTGCAGTCCTAGCTTTGTGGTGTTTCATCAAGAGAATGGAGAAGAAATGGAGATGGCGCAAATAGAGAGGACTTAAAAGCAAAGCAAAAGAGAGTGACTATGCTTCAAGCCGGATCTTTTTTTCTTATGGGTTTTTTTTTTTTTTTGGTTCCAAGAAAGAACAAGCCCAGGGGAGGCTGTGCAACTATTTTCCCTTCTCTGAAAGAGACCAATGCGCTCAAGAGGAGAAGTGATGCTTCATTCTCCTCTTCCAATGAAAAGTCTCCAAAAGCTTAGATTCTGCCCTAAAATAGCCATCAGACCAAACAAGTTTATATGAAGGCCATAACGGAACAAGCTATTCTCTTCCTTGTTTTTTACTCTTAAAGCTAGGATAAGCATTTCAGGGGTTCACAGAGTAGAGAGTGCCCCCAATGCCGGTTTTGGAGATTCCCATGAAGGTAGTGATCACTCAGTGGGGACAGAAGGTTCCCCAAAGAAGCGTTTAAAACTTTCACAGCTTCCCTGACCTCAGCCAGCCCCTCTCTTGCCTCTTCACCTCACCTGCGCTTGTATTCATCCCGTTCCCTCTTCACCTTGGCCAGGACATTGTAGAGAGCCCGGATTTCAGGGGTGATGGTGTCTATCTGCACCCCAACTCCATCCGGGTGCATCCAGGAGACCCCAGGCCCCTGAACGAGCGTAGTCTCTAGGCCTGGCCCCAGACGGCGAGCCTGCGAGAATGACCAGATGGTCCCAGGCAGGAAGCGGGAGGATGCGGAGAAAGCGCTGCTAGGCAAGGAGGGAGACTGGCAAGAAGTGGGGGTGAGCGGCGCTCCCGGGTGGTGGCAGACGGGGGAATTCAGCACCCTCGACGTGCTGCTGCCCAGTCCCACCGGCCGGCTGCCGTTGCTAGCCCCGCTGGTCAGGGAGAGTCCCAGCGGGCGGATGGGGCTGATGAAACCGGTCTGGACGGCTTGGTCCCGGCGCTGCAAGCTACCCCGACGGGCTCCCCCTTCCTCCAGGGCCTGCTGGAGCTGCTTTTCCAGCTGCCGGTTGCGGCGCTCCAGCTCGTGCACCTTGGCCAGGAAGCATCGGAAGCGGAGGTTGAGGGTCTTCAGCACGTTGATGTTGGAGCCCAGGTCGTTGCGGAGGGCCATGGCGACCGGCGGCGCCGGGAAGGAAGCGCCGGCGGCGAGGGAAGCCGGCGGGGCCAGTTCCCTGTCGAGCGCGTCCCCCTGGGGCTCGTGGGGAAGAAAGAGGAGGTCCGGCAGCTGCTGGCGCTGGCGCTGCTCGGGGCCCGCGGCTCCCAAGCCCTGCTGCTCCTGCTGCAGGAGGAAGAGGTTTGGGCCGAATAACGGGTTCATGGCTCCGCCAGCCGTCCCGCAGCTGCGACAGGGAAGGGAGGAGGGAAGCGGCCGCTGGGCGGAGAGGCGCAGCCCAAGCAGCCAATCCCCGCCGCCCGCCGCGGAAGAGGGCGGGAAGGCGCCCCGAGCTGCGGAGGGAGGGATGCGGCGCTGGACAACAGAGGACGGTGCGGCGTCCTGCGGGAGGAGGGAGGGAGGGAAGGAGAGATGCGCGGCCGCGGCCGGCGGACTGAGGCGACCGCGCGATGGCCCGCTGACGCCGATGGCCTGGGCTGGCTCTGAGGCCGCCACCGCTGCTGTAGCAACGGAGGACCCGGGTTACAGCTTCTCCCGCTAAGCGTTGGCGAATAAATTGCTCGACTCTTCAGGCAAAGCAGTTGGATCCGGGTGTTGTTTTTTTTTTTTCTTTTATGCCTACCATCGTTTTTTGCATCATCCCCATCAGCTCGCACCGGAGCTATTGGAGACCAGAAGGCTGGGCAGCTCAACAACGACAAAAGGTGCCGAACGGACTGCTGACCCTATCCAAAACCAACCAAACCCTTCGGAAGCCTTTGCCAGCGGCAGAGTTTAATTTACACTTTGAAAAGCAGAAAACCCAAAACGGAACAGATGACTCCCTTGTAATATTAGCTTCTGAATCTTTTGAAGCAATAACCTAGCATTTCAGAGGTGAAGGAATGACTAGAAAGCTATTTAATGGTTGCCTTTCGGGAACTTCTTTATTTATTGAAAGTATGCTCCTGGCTGTTTTCCACTTGTGTGGTAAAGACTTATTTGTAGCCTGTAAAGAATGTTAGGCTTCAGCAAGTCCTGCCGGCAGAAGCTGTTTTCAACTGAACAAAAGAAAAGAAGCCAGAGGACCCACTAACATTCAGTTCAAATGTATCACCATTCCCTGCAACTGAATCTTACTCTCCAAATAGAGTATGAGACTTGGCATAAAAATCACAGCAGCATTAGGAGGCATTAAGAGCTGTAATTGTGATGGCTCACTTTGGGCATTTAACGTATGAAAATCCTAAGGACACCTGAGAATCTGCACAGAGTAGTTTTCTGTCCAAATTCTTTAATTTGTTCACTGATTATCTAAACCTAGGGGTGAACAGTGGAATACACATTTGGAAGCAACACTAACCTGCTCAGTATAGCGTAAGGCATGAAAAAGATCCCAAAAGGTATCTACTAAATGAAAAAATAATTTTTGCACATTTTTATTCCATGTTATTGACAAACATATTGATCATTACAGAATCCAACCAAACACTCTTAATGTCCAAACAAAATAAATTGCTTTCCTTAAAAGGAGTCAAAAGATCAGCATGATCTGGAACAAAATGAGGCCCTGTATATTTACCTCCAGTCAGATGATTTCTTGCCTTCTTTCCAGCTGCTCAGTTCACATTAATTTTGTATTCTGGAATTCACACAACATTCTGTGGTTTCAGCAGTTAAAGAATATGCTGAGTCTTCACTGACTGCTTTGAAGGGGAACAGCCTCCTTGGATGTTTGCTCAAATTCACTCCAGCTTACCAAGCACCTGGTTCCATTTCAGCTCCCATCTTGTCCACACTCATTCCCTGCTATTACGGCCGGCATTAAAATTCAGACTAACAAAAACTAGAAAAAAAAATATTGATTCAAAGACATTGTCACTCAAATTCTAAACCCTCAAGCAATACAAATTTGCTAGGTTTAATTGAGCAGGTCAAAGTCACTCTTAAATTTTTGTAGTTTTGTATTATATGTTTCCTTTCAGGAACAACCAACTGTGCAGGATTCCTAAGATCCCTTTAGATTAAATGTATTGGCTTCACTTCTCCACACAAAAACACCGACACACACCATAGGTAGGCAGGAGACTTCCTGCAGGTTTTCAAGCCCCAGGCCTTCTGACTAGGCACACACTAGCTGAGAGTGCTTTAAAGATGATGCTCAGGGCAAAGAACTCTACCACCTGAATACCACTTCTGCAAACAGCCTCATCTATTGGATTTTTGGAGAGTGGCAACATAGATCAGGGCTTCAGCTGGAGAGCTCTATCATTACTGGCTAGGTTTATACCCACCCTTTGTCTAGGAGCTTCAAGCATCCTGTACAGAGTTCTCCCTTTGTTTTATTCCCTATGATCATGTTCAGAAGGCTAGACTGGAAGGAAGTGTGGACTAGAAGTCTGTTCTCCTCAATCCTTGTCCAACATCATAACACTGTGCCATGCTGCACTCGTGTACAATTAAGATTAAAACACAGTCTTTCATTTTTAAAATATCATACAATTTGCAACTTTCAAAATCCAACCCCACCATCTGAGAAAGCAGCCTGGAACCAATTAAATTGGTTTATGATTAAATGAAGCCAAATTATGCTCCGCATAAAGTTATGTGTGCTTGCTTGCAATGTGTATTACAAAAATTCTTCCAAGAATTTTAAAGCTTTTGCCAGTCCTAAATAACAAGCCTATTAATCAATGCATAGCCCCAAGTGTGAAACTCAGTTGCAGATGACAAGGAAGTTTTATCCAGACACATGAAATCAAGGAAACTTTTAATGACAGGTAAGGGGTCTCATACAAATAGTCTCTGCCCTTCAACAGGCTAAAAATAAATGAAGCATCTGAAGCGCAAAGGGGAAATGCCTCATCGCTTCTGCACCAGTCTTGCCAGGACACGTTATCTTGGTAATCAGGATCTCCCACCAGTCACCCCAGAATTGCCATCAGTTATTCCATGGTGTATCAAACATAAAGGCCTCCTTCTACTGGGGGTTTCGTTGTACTCTGTCTTTTTTCCTGGGAGTTAACTTAGCCCTTAGTCCTCCAGGAGAGGGCCAAGCAGCATTCAAGAGTCTGGCCTTTTTCTGAAAGTTGCTTTGCTTGGAGGCAGCAAGCGGTTTCTTCTTTTTATTTATTTTCAACTCTTCTTTAGCTTCCTTCCCGGCTGCGACTGCAGTTGGAAGCTCTTGCTTTGAAGCTTGCTGCTGACCGGCTTTACTTTCTGGACCTTTTTTCTTTTTAGGTGGAGGTTCAGTTGGAGCTGGAGCAGATCTGTCTTTTACCGTTTGCTTTGTTAGCTCCCCAGTGGGCGCTTCATCTAGAAGTTAAAAGATAAAGTTAGATTAGGAGTAGCCACCAGATTACTACATTTTCAGTTAATTAATTAATTTCAGGTTTTAACATCTTTAACAGGAAATTTCTAGATCCCAATTATTACTAAAGGTTCTGAGAAGAGCTGGTAAAAACCCAGTTCTCATCTTAATTCAAACTGCACCCTCCTCCCTGCTGTTAGAACAAGGTATTAGGATGTTCAAACCACACAATAATTTACAGTTAATTTATTTTAAGAGTTAGCTTCACTGGAAGACGTATGTATAATGTCAAATTCATCTACATATATTATTGTAAAGGTGTCTAATGCAGGCAAGAGGGCTTTGGATCCAAAAAGGCATCCTTGGCTTACACTACAAAGCAGCTTTTTCTGGGCCTGCATGACAGCTTCACGGGCTCAGCAAAATACTTGTCTGAGTTAAACATGTACAGCAATGTCTCCATAGGTGTGTATCTCAACCCAAATATACCACCCACTCTGGAGAGTAGTCTATTTGTGACATCTAACAGAATCAACAGATACTGATATTCACAATCTCCCCAACATAATTTTCTCTTTGGTTTCTATTCTTTAGTCCTTTCCCCAGCAATTAATTAGGTACTGTTCAGGTCCACCTCAAAATAAAGCCTTGTTAGTCAACTAAATAGGTTCCGTGGATAGCAAGATGCAAGGTAATTCAGTAAGATAGTGTATTCTGGTTGAAGCTGTTAACTAATTTCGAGATTTATGATTCCTGGTGGGTGTTGTCTGTCAGCAAAACAAGGTTTCTGAAAAAAGGCAAGCTCTCAGATTCGTTACCTTTCTGAGCTTTAGGAATGGCATTGGAAAATTTTTTCAACTTGGCCACAAAAAACCCATCCATGTTGTGGGTGTGCGGATAGAAACGGCGTGTGGATTTCAAGGAAGGATGGAAACGACGCTCCTTAAACCTAGACAAATGCAAACAAAAAGTGATGCATTTCCAATACCCGAAGCACTCCAGCAAATGTCCACTGTCCCACTCCCATTTTTCAGAATTAGAGATACAAACCGGGTAAATCCTTCTTTGCCGAAGTCCAGACCCGTTGGCACCAAGCGGACGTTGCGTTTCTTCAGGGCATAATCCACCACCCACTCGTTCTCTTCCACCTGTCACCACAGAGCACAGGCAGCAGGTTGGTCAGCGTCTCCAGAAGAACAAAAGTGTCAGTGGAGACGGCAAATAAAACAGACACCTACCATGACTGAACATGTGCAGTACACAATGTATCCCCCAGTCTCAGAGGTTGCATTAACGGAGTCAATGGCACTGAGGATCAGCTCCTTCTGTATATGAGCACAGCGCAAAATGTCCTTTTCATCCTGAAAAAGTCAGGAAGATGAGTGTTAATAGAAACAAATCTCGGTGCTTTTTTTTTTTTTTTTAAAGGGGGGGGGGAATTACAAAGTTTCCACCAGGAGACAAATGGGGGACTGAACTCTGTGCTTTTCTGCATTTTTCAGTGGTTTTTATACCATCAGCAAGGGTTTAGAACAGGGCTAGGCAACCTTGGCTCTTTTATGACTTGTGGACTTCAACTCCCAGAATTCCTGAGCCAGCTGTGCTGGCTCAGGAATTCTGGGAGTTGAAGTCCACAAGTCATAAAAAAGCCAAGGTTGCCTACCCTTGGTCTAGAATGCGGGCAGAAAAGGACTGCATGGATAATGCTCACAGTTGGGGCAGTTGCTTTCTGGAGGTGTTGCTGAGGAATTTGGCCAAAGCATTTATTTTGCAAGAGCTTGTGTTGTTTTTAATTTATTTGGCTTCTATAGCCCCTCATTTCAACAAGTAACTCAAACCAGTTACTTTCAGACTACTATTCCAAAAAATAAAATAAACTTTTCTATTCTTCTAGTTGCCTTTGTTCATTCAGCATACTGGCACTCTCTGAACCTGTTAAAACCAGTCTTATTCTGTAATATACCTTTTATTATCAGGATTCTCAATATATTCGAGAGATCCGGAAGAGTTCGGACTACTCCACAACCTCAATTATTTGAATTTTTCTTTGAAGTAATCTCATTTATACGGCAGATCTTAACCAACCCATGGCCTTGCACACTGTTTAGTTCCATGCCCAATTCCTCCAACGGACATTCCAGCCAAAAGTTTTAACTTCTGACCAGATAAAAGTCACTGTTCAATCAATATGCTTACATCATGCATCTCTCACTTCTTTCACGTATCCTTAAAAAGGCACCTCTGTGTAGCTTATGGCAATGCATGAGAACAAAGAATGGATGTATCATTCTGAACTACTCTGCATGCCCATTCCGATACTGCTATGCTTCATGCAGTGAGAATGAATAAACTTACCTTATTAGTTTTGACTGTGGGGTCCTTTGAAATAACACCAGTACCACTGCAGGGAGCATCAAGCAGGACTCTGTCAAATCCACCCAGTACCTTAAGTTGAAGAAAAATGGACTTAGAAGGAAGTTACTCTCGATTCTATCTGCTCTTGATTTGATCAGCTTACTAACTGAAGACTAAACTCTTATCTTGGAAGTCTACTCTTCTCCACAGAGTAGAAGGCAAACCAGTCACGTCTGGTTCACCCTGCCCTCCTCAGCAACCTGGTCATGAATCTTGCTCAGCCGGCAGAGGAAGGGTGAGGCAGCTGGCTGATAAAGAGTGGAGGCAGCTTTGCCCCTGACAGTTACCTCAAGAAAGGAAAGGGGCCCCTCCCCCCCCTCAGCAGCATACCTTAGGAAATTGGCGCCCATCACAGTGGCTCACAACAGTGTTTGTGACTCCTAAGCGGTGCAAATTTCCCACCACACTGTGCAAGCGCTCAGCACTGCTGTCATTAGCTAGTATCACCCCTGTGTTCTTCATCAGCTGAGCTGCCAGGTAGAACAGAAAAGTACGTGTCAGGCCTGCCTTTGCAGCAATGATGCAGCAACTCCCAAGAGGCTCCCATTCCTTCCACACAATATGCTGGTTTGGGGTTCCTACAAAGGCAAATCCTTCTCCTCCATACAAAATGGAGGAGATTGCCTGCATTTCCTATGAAATAGCCCTCTCTGTGGATTATTCAGCACAGCTCTAAACCCCTTGGACTGTCTTAAAAAAAAAAAACTGGCTGAGGACAAATATTTCTGCATTTCCTCCCTAAAGCCAGATATGACAACATTTAGTTCCCTCTAGGCTGCTAGTTATGAAATCTTAGCAACAACCAAGGCAACAAGGTTGGCAACGGCATTTTTATGGCATTTTGAAGGCTGGCTGGGGAATTCTGGGAGCTGAAGTCCACACGGCTTAAAAGTTGTTGAGGTTGAAAAACACTGGTTTAGTAAATAAAATTGAAAGGCAAATTAACTCTACTTCTTATGAGAAATGTTGAGAAGAAGGATGATCAGGATATGCAGGCTTGATTACCAAAGCAACAAGAGATGAAATATGCCATGAGCCTAACAGATAACATTTGGAAGAGATTTAGATATTTCCCTATTTCACAGGAGTATAAGAAGGGAGAGGATGTAAGACGTCCTATCCTTCTGCAAGAGCCTGAAGACCAGTTCTGCCAGCTGACCCGAGTTCCACGTGGAACAGGCTTCTGGATTGATGGCAGACTCCAACTCCCCACTAGCCCTTTGCTCTCCACCCACCCATCTTTTTGATTATCATATAGATGTATTATCCTTTTGTGTTCCTTTGTCATTGTTTATTTTATTGTTCTATTATTTTACTTCTGTTCTGCTTGCACTTCCTTCCTTTTTATTATTGTAAGCCACCTAGAGTAGCCTCATGGCAAGAAGTGGCCTCAATAAGTGGCCTCAAATCAGACAAAGGTGTGGAAGAGATGAACCTAAACCAGTGTTTCTCAACCTTGACAATTTTAAGGCATGTGGACTTCAACTCCCAGAATTCCACAGCCAGCATTGCTGGCTGTGGAATTCTGGGAGTTGAAGTCCACATGCCTTAAAATTGTCAAGGTTGAGAAACACTGACCTAAACCTTGATTGGGCTGATTCATCCCAAACAATTACCTTAGGATAGAGGGGAAAGACTATAATTATGCACACTCTTTCCCTCTAGCCATGCCACATAGAGCAGCAACAACTGAAGAAGAGAGGATGTCAATTTAAAAACATTAAGAGACCTTGATAAACACTCCATAACAACACTCCATAACAATGCTCCTGAATTCCAGCAAATAAGTAAAAATTCCTTTTCAAGCCAGGGATTAGGGAAATGGAATGGGAACAGACCCAGAAATACTCTTTAATCTACCATATGCATTTCTGTACTCTGTATTTATTGTAGGCATTCAAATACTACTCAGGCTGAAATATTAACAGGATTCTTTTGTGTCAACCCAGGATATCAGGGGCTGCTTTGTCCACGCCCACAATGAATCCCCAACATTCACTCTTAAGAATAAAAAACAAAATGGTAGCTACACAGGGGAATAAAGGTTATTCTTCTAATTTCTCCACCTACAGCTACCCCCTGGGATAGCTGGGTCCTTGAGTTTAGCAACCAAAGGAAGAAATGGGGAAAGAGCATGGAAGGGAGATCTACAACCGTACTCCATGGAAGTCCAGTGAAACATACTTTACTCTGTCAAAGGCTTTAAGACTGGGTCTCCTAGTATTACTTCTTATCTTGTTTTCATCACCTGGCTCTCTTGCTGGGAGGATAAGGAATCGTGTGTGTGTGTGTGTGTGTGTGTGTGTGTGTGTGTGTGTGTGTGTGTGTGTGTGGAGTAAGCCCAGATCTTATTACTTGGTTGTTTTTTTAAAATACCTTTTCAATTCTCTGCCTATCCTGCAAGTGAGGGCTATGTTGCAAGTACCCAACTAAACCAATATGGAACCTACAACTGTCCCTACAGAAGGAAGAGAATGACAATTTCTGTCTTCAGAAAAGAAAGGGCCCTTCAGAAGGAGCCTGCCTTTTAATGGAAAGCAAAGAGCTGCCTTGTATGGTGGGCAGTCCCCAAAACGGGGAATTTGAACTCATTCTTCCCCAACAAGCAGGAGTACCTATGTAACTGGTCTTGCCTCCTGGGGCACAGCACATGTCCAGAATGCGCTCATTCTCCTGAGGGGCAAGAGCCATAACAGGGAGAAGGCTGGAAGCGCCTTGCAGCATGTAGTGTCCAGCTAAGTATTCTGGGGTGGCACCTAAGAGTCAAAAAAGGAAAGACCACAAGGATAAATACAGGGAAAGCAGTAGCAGAGCATCTATATAGAGGCAGGACTTGGGGGGCGGGGAGCAGAGAGATACCCACCTATAGGCACGGAGGAGTCATAAACAACAAGCCCAGTTTTTGACCACTTTCCTAATGGGTCTAAATTCACTCCACGATTTATCAAGGCCTGTAACACAAAAGAGGCAGTTTAGCTCTTCCAATCATGGCGAAAGAAGAGAGAAAAAGGCTGGAAATGCTCAGGTAGGTACACACCTGGGCTAAATCACGGCGTCTTGTCTTCAGTGTATTGGTGCGGAGGGTCACTGGCCGAGAGACTTCATTGGCTTCCAAGAATTCAACCAGCTAAAAGCATGAAGAATGAAAGAATGGGAATCTTTCCTCATCAAGAAGCAGTGGTTATACACATTTTTCCATGGAGTAGAAGTAATTGAGCTGATGCTTGATTTAAAGAATACCAATCTATCAAAAGAGGTGAAGAGGGCAAAATTCTTTTTCACATCAACTGATGCTATGCAAGAAACCAAGACCAGTTCTTAGGCTCCCAATGATAATCTAAAGGCAAAAAGCATCTCATCAGTCAGAGCTAATGTTACTGGGGAGAAGCTCAGATGGCAGGGAAGAGAGGAATATTTACAATTATACTGGAGTTCTTGCAGCAAGCAGGTCTGTGCTAATGTATGCATGCACATTGATCTGCATGTCGATATAGTTAAACTTATAAACAAAAGAAATGGAGACTGAAATTTTTTTGGCACCAAAACAATTATCTGCCAAGATTTCAGCCTGTTGTTGACTGCAGCCACCAAATGTTTGTGTTTCTGACTAAAAATCTTTCTAGAAAAATAGTACCTCAGACAGAGGGAAGAGTTCTGTCATCTTTCCAATTAAGAAATCACTGTAGGAGTAATATGCGGCAAGATCCTGATGCAGAAGGGATAAATATTCCTGCCTTGAGCGTTCTTTCTCTCGCTTTGAACTGAAATCCTGAAGCACCTCCATATTATCTTTTATACGCTGATGAATGAGTTGGAGATCAGGAGGCTGAGCAGGTGAAAAGGAATTAAGGAACAACCACAAATATGTGAAACTGTCTTATACCAAGGCAGATATAACTGATTTTACTAACAGCTTACTCAGCTTTTTGCAGTACAGACTCCAGAGATTATTGATTACATCAGCGACTTCTTCAGGCTTCCACAACAGGGGCACAAAAGAGTAGCTGGACCCTATCAAACATGCGACCCCTGGTTAGGATTACACAAATCCAAACTACCACCACTAGACGACAGCAAAAATATATTTTTGCAGTCCAGATTTGGTAATCGCAGTACTTAGCTTGGCCCCTTGCACAAATATAAAAGTTACAAGAAACGTATTTTGAATCCCAATAAGGAACATTAGGGGTTGAAGCTTAATTTTCACTTTGAACTTTCATATTCTACCATCCAAAATAAAACTGGTTGTGAAAATGTGTCATGCTAGCTCCATGCAGGTTAGCTTGTGGAACCACACTGCATTCATGTACTTATTACATATTTATCTCATTTAAAAACAGTCCTAAAAGGGAAATGAACTGAAGAGAGATATTGATACCTAAGTTCTCTTCCAAGAAAGCAATTCAGGACTGCCAGTCTTTTATGGAAAGTTTAAGAGAGTATTAATCTGAGGGACCTGTATGAATTCACCATTCAGATCCTATAATCAGGGTTTCCTAACCATGGCAACTTTCACACATGTTCAACTCCCGGAATTTCCCATCCAGCCATGTTGGGGAATTCTGGGAGTTGAAGTCCGTGCGTTTTAAAGATTGGGAAACCCTGCCTATGACAAAGCTGTGCCATGCAAAGAGATCTGTAGGGAAAGACTCAGAAGGAGACACAGGACAACTCTGGACAACCCCCTTAATATTCTCTGGGTCCACCAGGGTAAGGATATCCTCTTTCTCTATCTCCTGACCACTGGGAAGCACAAAGCACTCCTGTGCCTCCATGTTGAGCTGCAGGTCTGTGTCCTTTTCTTCTTCTTGCTCTACCCTCTGCTTGGACACTGGTGTCTCATCCTCGCTGTCATCCTCACTGATGTCCTGCCTGCAACCCAGAAGAAAACCATTTTGCAAGGAGACTCAAAGAGTAGCAGAAAAATTGGATCCATTGTAAGGGGAAAACGCTCAGCAATTCCCCCCAATCAAATATTTTGGATTACTCACCCTTCCATCTTTTGTTTTTGAGCAGCTTGTTCTATAGGCAGGAGCTGAATGGAAAAGCACACAAAGAACCACTTAAACAAAGGCAGGAGTATTCTCTGCCCAACCAATCTGAATAATGCAGACCTACAATATAAGGAATTGGGATGGAGAGTCTATTAACATAAACTTTATTTAATTAGATCAGGAAGGCTTCCTGACTCGTAAATGACTCTGGGTGGTCTTAGAGCAGGGTCCCCAAACCCCCAAGCTGTGGCCCATTAGGAATGGAATCTAGGTAGCGTGTGAAACCACACACACACCCTCAGGTCTGTGGAAAAACTGTTTTCCATGGATCTGGTCCCTGGTGTCCAAAAGGTTGGGGACCACTGCCTTAGAGAATCCCATCTGTGGAGGTTTTTTTAAAATATAAAATATGTACCCATTCTATGAATGCAGCTATCTTTTTACATACTGTAATAGTGACACTAGAACAGAGCAGAACCAGTCACACACACACACACAAAAACGGGAGACCCTTATAAAACTTTCATTAAAAGACCCTTATAAAATTTTCATTAAACTTCAATTAAAAAAAAGCTTCAAGGTGCTGCAGCAGACCCTCTTATGTCAGTGGAAGAGCTATTATAGCCCCAGGGCTGTAATACTGGGGAAATGTATTGGGGGGAGGAAGAGAGGAAAGGAGGAGCAAGATTAAACTGACCACCATTTTTCATTATTACTCAGCAAAGGTCAAAGCAAACCTGTGGGAAAGCTAGGAAGCAAATAAATAAACAAATTTCCCAGCCTTGGAAAGCCATTGTGACATCTCTTGCACAGCACTCAAAACTGACAGTTTCTGTTCAGTAACAAAATCATAGGCAAAGCAAACATCTTCTTCAGCCTTAGGTTTTCTTGGTCATACAGGCAGATTCCCACACTTGGTCTTAGTTACTAAGTTAAATAAAATAAACTATACTCTGTTTGTATTGATAGCCCAGTTGCTTTGTAATGTTAGATTACAATGTATCCCAACACAGAATATGGGGTTCTAAGTCAGGGACAAAATGGCCCAAGAGACAGAGCAGACACACAATTCAAACGGGAGACACTGACACAAGAATTTCTATTTAATAAGTAAGAAATATTTCCATCTATCTGAATAACATCCACCAAAAACCACTATTGCCCAATATTCTTACCTCTTCATCACTAGAGGAAGCAACTCCATAGTCATCCATAATGTCATCCTCACTTAGATCATCTTCATCACTGAAAGCCATGCTCTCTCCTTTGTCTTCTTCACTCTCTTCAGTCCAGGGTCTTTTCTTCCTTAAGGCAGGGGAGGTGAGCTGTGTGGCAGCATCACTGCTGCAGTTAGTTGGGTTGTCCTCTTGGGAACTTTCCCCCTTGTTTGCATTCTTCAGTGTTTTTTTTTTAGCTGCCAAAAAGGACAATAGAACACTGTGAAGTAACTACAATGAATTGTCTGCCCTGGCACACTTTAGAGCATTTCACCTCGTGTGGATGGAGAATAATGAACGTTGTAATTCAGGAGAAAGATGGTGATGGTCAGATGGGGTTGGCAGGGCCAATGAATGTAGGGTAGCCAGGCTGTCAGAATACAGGACAGAGATGGAGGGCATGGGGAGGATTACTTAGGTCAAGTGATCGCTCTTGCTAAAGTTCTGCTAATTAGTTGAATACAATTGCTAAATATCCTTTAGTCTGAAGTGGTAAATGAACAGGAGTACCAAAGTGGCACAGAAATAGCTTTCATTTACCAAACTGACATCTAACGAAGTAGAGCTTTATAAAATTTGTTAAAGCTAATAGCACTGTGGTTTGTTAATCTTTTTGCATTGGCCGATAATTCTTATGGCGGGGGAACTTTCTAAAGAGATAAAAAAATGACATAGAATGAGTCTCTGAGTAGTTGTTCCTGGGGTCCAAGGGACTGACAGGAACAGACTGCAATACGTTGATGTTGGGCCTAGAGCAGTGATGGCGAACCTTTTAGAGACCGAGTGCCCAAACTGCAACCCAAAACCCACTTATGCATCGTTGGGTGCCAGGTGGGTGTGGCTCATTGGCTGGGTGTGGCCCATTGGGTGGGCGTGGCTACGGTAGTAACAGCAGACTGGGTGGGACTAAAAAGTTCAATCAATCAATTCCAACTTTGCAAGATCTTTTTTTTCCCCATAAGAACTTGAAATTGACTGATTGATTGAACCTTTTTTTTTTGTACACGGCGGCAGAGGCCTAAAGTGAAAAGGTTTCATAAAACCCAGCTGAAGGCCTAGGACTGGGGCGACGGCACCCGTGCCCACAGAGAGGGCTCTGAGTGCCGCCTCTGGCACCCGTGCCATAGGTTCGCCACCACTGGCCTAGAGAAAGCAAAGAACAGATCCCACCCTCCTTCTGCCTTCACTGCCCCACTAGAACCCAGCTTCTGAATAGCAGACAGTATCTGAAGTGGAATGTCTTTCCCAGTCTCCTGAATTATTAGAAAAAAAATGACCAACAGTTACTCAATGGCTTAGTATTCTAGATATTTTAGTATAATCAGCATATGCTACTGGTAAGTATGGAAACTAAAGGCCTATATATCTGAATGATACAAAGTTGGGGAAGCACATTGCTGCTCTACATCCATCAATTGTAAACCCTGAATAGTAATAGCTCCAACCAACCTGCCTAAATGAGCTAAAGGATAAATATTCTTGATTCTATCAATGTACCTGTCACATTTTGGTGATTGAGGACATTTTTTTTCATCTGCGGTTTCTCAGATTTAATCCGTCTTTTTGCAGCTCTAAAATGAAATAGAAGGATGAATAAAAAGCGACTCTGTTCAAGACAGTAAAAATAAGGAACATGAATTTAACACTTTGAGTAAATACATTTAAAATGATTAATTAGCAAAACAACAAAAAATATGTTGGTTCTCCCTTACTGCTGTTTTAAATTCTTCACATTTGCTATAAATAGATGGATCTGCTCATTTCAGGAAAATTGTGTCAACTGTTGCTAAAAAGCCTAATAAAAAAGCTGGATTGAATGAAAAACAACACTTCCAATGTTATAGGTCATCAGTAGAAGGCAGTACTGATGCATTACAAGCTCTGATGTGTTTTTAGCATCAATTCTTTCACTTCATTTGGTGGGAAGTTGCTGCAAGAAAATGTTATGTGGCTGTTTGTGAAATGGAAACTTGCGATGAATACTTGACAGTGCAATGCACCGTGACTGAATTTTTGACTACCAAAAAAGTCCCTCCAATTGAAATTTACAACTATATGCAGGTTGTTTACCATGATAACTATTGCAATATGAGTACTGTGCATCATTGGTAAAAAATGTAAAGATGGTGATTTAAGAGAGCTGATTTGTATGATCAAATACAAAGGGGATGATCTGTGATAGAAACCAACAGGTTTTACATGAGCAAGGCTCATGAACTGATGAAGGAGTATTGGCAGATCACTCAAAGGGAAGTTGCTGCTAAATTTGGAATTTCACAGAAACGTTTAGATCACATTATATGATGTTCTTCAATATCAGAAGGTTAGTGCAAGATGGGTTCCTTGTGTGAAAGTTTCAACGGTTTAAATTTGTCAGCAGTTCTTATCACATGAGATTCTTTCTACAATTGCTATCACATCATGAGGAATTTCTTCATTGCACTGTGATAGCTAATGAAACACGGGCTCATCATTATGACCCAGAAATGAAACATTAGTTTATGAATATAGTTAAAATGCTTCACTTGAGGAAAAAAATTGAAAATTCAGCCATTCGCAGGAAAACTCATGGCTCTGATGTTAATCACATTGATTTCTTTGAACTTTGCTCTATTATCAACTAGAATGCCAAGTTGCAATACTGAAATTTTGAAATAATAATTAAGCATGCTGGGGAAGTGGATGGAGCAAAGTAAACTAATCTGGCTCCCCACAGACATTAATGTGGTCTTGAAAGGCCAGAATGTGACTAAACAAGCCAGCTGTAGAAGTAGTTAGACACATCAAAGAGCTGGATTTGGCTAACCAGCAGGCTGGGATGCTGGGAAGGTTGCTGTGCTGGTCAGTCTACTTTCTTCATCAAGATGGGGGGGAGGAGGGAATGGGGAAACTGAGCTTCATTGGGATGAGTTGTGTGAGCTGTTTCTGCCTGGCAGCAGTTGGTGTCTTAGGTGATGTCACATCTTAGAGCAGGGATACACAACGTTTTCTGCTCAAAAGTCATAATTGGCCTTTAAGTGGTACACCAGTGATTGCTTTCTTAAAAAGTAAGAGAAACTGATCAAAAAATCTATTTTCATTGACATGTGATTCAATACTCATCACATACTTTGTAGTAATCCCCTTTTGTCACATTCAAACTTACAATGCAGTAATAATCTTTTGCAGAAGCTCTAAATGACACATTCAAAGTATGGGAGGTCTGCATGGGAAGCTGAGGATCTAGAGGGCCAAGTACTTCAGGGCATTAATGTACAATATGATAATTTAAAAATAAGCATTACCAGTATGATACATCCAATTATCAGCTGAAAGTATTTTTATCAATAGACAGGCATATTAAAAAAAAGATACTGTTGTAAAATATATTATACTCTAGACTAACCTTCGTCGAGCATGACTGGAAAGTTTTGTTGCATTGTCATCAAGTGCTGGGGGAAAAAAACAAACAAATCATGACATTTCAAGAAGGGGAAATCTTTGTAAGAAATACAAAAACCTTCATGACATTTAAGGACCAACAAGTTCACAAGTTGTAGATAACATTCAACTCACAAAGTTTTCAAATGCTTATGGGAAAGCTGGTATAAATAAATCTGAGTTTGACAGAACAGAGAAGTGAGACCTATAACGCCAACAACAACAGCAAACTTGTTTTCAAGTTGTCAAGCTACAGAATGCACATCTATGGAAACCAAAAAAAATCCTACTGCCTCAGGTCCTCCATACAAAACTGAAAATGTCTGCCAAAGTCTTAGATATCCTTTTGCCTTTTGTCTTCCATTCTTCTATTCAGAATATTGGGCCTTTCATAATGAAGGATATAAAGAAGGCGTTTGCAGTTTGGGGCAGTTGTCACCTAACTGATTAAATACTGCAAATTGATTTCTATGAAGCAACAAAATGTGCATTAAATGGTACAAGTTTACAGCAAGAAAATGAAGTATCTTGCTACTGATTCAGTAAGATGTATGATTTTGGTAAATAATATAGTTTGATTTCCGTATCTCTTCTCTCCCCAGCACAAAATTAAATATACACACGTACAACAGAAAACACTTTGCCCCATAACTTCAATATTTTGAATAGTCTTTTTCTCTTTTTACATTAACAAAAATTAGTTCTTTTGTTCAGGAGAATTCTGGTTCCACACACACATAGGAAAACAAGCAAGACGTTTATCTAATTCTCAACAGAAACATATCAACAAATGTTTTCAAGTACTACAAACTGCCTCAGAAATCTTATAATTAGAGCCTAAAAGGAAAAGCAGAGACATTGCTTTGCTATATGAAATTCAGTTGTTGAAGTTTATGCCCTGCCCAAAGCCAGCCCTGCACTTGAGATCTGAGATTTGAACACCTTATCTCCTTAACAGGTATGGAGCAATATCAGGAAGATGAGCCTGACTTCAGACTAAGCATACCAACAGGCAAAATTCTGCATACGTAGTCACTTAAATCAGACAGTAAAAAAGAGCTCATAAAATCAACTTGCTGGTGGAGTGCAGGAATGGCACCATAGCAAAAAAGGCTGTGCTTCATGTACTGCAATGTGTCACCCACCAAAGAATCATCAACTCAAACTTCATTCCTAAAAACTGCAGGCCAAGGGGAAGAACTGAAATCCATTTTGTTTGATCTACGTGCCCAGCCTTTGGAGAAAAATCAGGAATACGCTAGCAGTTTTTCCAACAATTAAACTTTAACAAAAGCAGAAACTTTTGGAAGTAGTAGTTCACTTCACCAGATGCCCAGAAAGGCTAAGCTGATACAGAATTTAAATTGGGGCAAGACCATGGATGGGAGGGGATTAAAGATAGGTTAGTTAGGCAAATGTGAGACATTATAGTGTCTTACAAAGTGACAATAGAAATGCAATCAAAATATTGCTGAAATCATCTGAGACTGCCATAAACTGTTTGATGTACATAGGTTCAGCAATTTTTCTCTAAACGATGAAGTTAAAGTTTTGCTTTTTTCAAAACAGTAACTCTGAGATGTGCTGTAGATGCCTGAGAGGCTGAGATGCCGTGATGTTACCTTGTCCTTGTTCTGAGCCCAGATCTCAAATGTACGCCCATAAATTCTTAGACATCACAACTCAAAACAAGGTCAAATACTCCCAGGTCATTTACAGCAAGTCTCAAAGTGACTCTTTTGGAAAAGCAGGACTTTGAACGCTGCATCCACTGAGAAATACTGGATTTCAATATAAGAAAATATATGTAGCTCAAGATTGAATTGTGGAGTCCTTGGTACTCCTGAGCATGGTTGTTTTCTTGCAGACGTTTCATTACCCATGCTAACTATGGGAAATGCTTTGAAGAGCACTTACCTAGCTGGGTAACGAAATATCCACAAGAAAATAAGGAAGCTCTGGGATCACCAGGGACTCCATACCAATGGTTTTGAGCCTATCTCAGAAGGCTTCAACAAACCCAAAGGGCTTTAACCCAATACAATTGCTAATCAATAAGATGCTTGTAATCTGTCTCGCGTGTAACCCGCCTCTCTATAACCAGCCGATCTTCGCCTCCCAATTCCCCTACATCAGTCTAACCACCTCATGCAAGCTGGTGCCTTTAACTAAAATTGGTTAGTCGGAAAAGGTGCTACGTGATTCCGGATTTTTTTTACCACCCTAGGCTAATGCCTACGTTGTCCACGAGACGAAGTTCTGGCAGAGTGACTTACCGGGCGGCAAAAAGCGGGCGAGCTCCTCCTCCGCTCCGCGCTGCTTGCGGGCCTTCCGACCTGGCCCCCGCTTTGCCTGCCGGTTCGGGTCCAACTTGCGCCCCATGGCTTAGGCCTCCGCTTTCGCTTGGAGTGGGACACGTGGGTAGACTCCGCCCCCTCCGTGAACATCCCGACTTCCTTCCGTTTTCAGACGAATCTCATTGGCTGTTCCTCCCCCCCCCCCGGCTTACTTCTGCAGCCTTGTGGTTAGTTGGGTAGTTGACGTTTTCTTTGATTCATAGACTGTGACAGCGCTTTTGTGGAATTCGTTGCTCTTCTCCCTCGCTTTTCTTTTCTCAGTACAGGAAGGGAGGCCGGTCCGCAGAAATGAATAGAAAGAAAAGCCGAAAGTGCAGGGGTTTTCAACCTTGGCAACTTTAAGACTTGTGGACTTCAACTCCCAGAATTCCTCAGCCAGCAAAGCTGGCTGAGGAATTCTGGGAGTTAAAGTCCACAAGTCTTAAAGTTGTCAAGGTTGAGAACCCCTGCGAAAGTGGGATCTAATTTATCCACCCAGTTTACACTCTTCATCACCTTCTATTCCGTGCAGAAAACCAGTGTTTTTTTTTTGTTTGTTTTTTAGGAAACCAGTTACAAAGAGAAGAGCCTCTAATCTTCAATGCCACGCTCCCAGTTTGGGAGGCGAGCTTCTGCTCAATCACAGCTACCTCCAGAATTTGAATGTTATTTCCAACAGGGGTCCACGCTTCCACCCAGGAAGAAGACGCCGAAAGCGGAAATACGAGCTACATCATTTCAACCATCTATGCCTGCATCTTCCTGCAACTTCTCTTATTAGACAGTGAACTTTAGTAGCTGCAATTTCTCTTCTCTTTTCAGTGGGAAAGTCGAAGACATGCTGATGTTATGTTTATTCCAGGAGTGCTTTACAATCTGAAGTGTTTTCTTCAGATTGGATTGAAAATGTTTTTCCAATGTGTATTAGGTATACTTTCTCCGGTCTTTTACCAGCCAGCTGGACTTTGAAAATGATTTCTCAGAAGAAATGTATTGAGACAGAAAACAGAGATCTGCATCCAGGATTAGAAGCATACCATAACTCAGCACTTCTCAACCATGGCAACTTTTAAGATGTGTGCACTTTTAACTCCTAGAATTAGTTATACTAAAGTTGAGAAACACTAGCGTAAGTAATTAAATGGATTGTGCGTTTTTCTTCATTGCAGCATATATAAAAGACACTGTTGGATCTTACGTATCCGGAGGCCCTATGACTCAAGGCAATTCTATGTATTTGGTATAGTAACAATTAAGCTGGTTAGGTCTTTTAAAATGCCACCATTCGATGTAACTATCCCAAATATACTTACAGCCCGAGGACTTTCTGCTGATACCTATGCAAGCACTAATGAAATCTGATCACGTAGCTTTTGGTATCAGTTGGACATAACTGAAAGATGTTTGCTGCTCATCTACCTACAATTTCTATGTAGGAAAATACTTGCAGAGAACTATCATGTAGGCCAGAGATCCCCAACCTTTAGGGTACCAGGGACTGGTTCCAATGGAGAGAGGTTTTTCCACGGGACAGGAGGGTGCGTGGTTTTGTGTGCTGCCTGCACCCCATGGATGGGGCTTTGCTTGTTTGTGCAGACCAGTTGCTGGCAAGCCATGGCCCAGTACTGGTCTATGGCCCAGGGGTTGGGGACCCTTGATGCAGGCCCTATCAAAAAGCAAATTAAGTGACACATGAAGTAAATGTCTTTTATAAAAATTTCTTAGATTAAAACATTATCAGGAGCCCCTATGGCAACTGCTTCTGCCAGAGACTGCCTTTGTAAGAATCAAGTGGCAGCATCCTCTTCTCTCAATTTAAATCAACCATATTTTTCTGGTTTGCTGAATATCATTCTGAAAACAAAGCATTTCTCAACACGGAAGCTTGGCAAGATTTTACTCAGAAATAACTGCATACTATCTTTTAATTGCAATCTTTTTACAATCCCATGTGAGGTTGTTGGATAAAGTAACAATGGCTGGGTTCATACATTGTGCTAAGCAATAAAATAATGAATCCAACCATGATAGTCAGTAACCCAATTCATGGGCCAGCAAATTGCCTGAATCAGCTTGTAAGTGCCTTGTGTGGACTGTGAAATTCCAAGATACAAGCCATGATTTGTGATATAAAAGCAACAGATTTAAAGTGTACTGCGGTTATCATTTGTTTAGATAAATTCAGACAAATGTGACACTGTCAGTAGGTGCTGCCTGCATTTGCACATTGCAGCACATTTTATTACAAAGTCTTTTAAAGTTTATCAATTGGAAAAAAGTATCTAAGATAGCCTGGGATCTCCGTATCTGGGCTAAACTGGAAGTGTATGTATTGTTTGCACATGTACACTTTTCTATCAGATCACAAGTCACATTAAATTTTTAATAGAGAAGCTGTTACATCCCCCATATACTTTGCCCAAAGCAAATAAAATACAAGGAAACCTTTATTTTTAACTTTATCAAGATTTGTCTTTTTTCCAGCTGTTTCAGAGGACAAGTCCAGTCAGTTTTTGTATTAAAAGGATCTTGATGGAGGTAGCTGTGTCTGTCCTGACGTTTGCTTGCACTCATCTTGGTAAACAAACTGAAAATAAAATTAGAATCAAGGAAGAGTGGGCCAAGGTGATGAGCATTGCAGCCAGGTCTGTGTAACAGATGGGACGCTGCAGCCTCCAGTCACTATATACAGAGTCCATCCAATGTTCCTTTTCACCCAAGTGCAATCTAAGTGCAGCTGGCAGCTTATGGAAGATTGCACTTCCTCCTTTCTCCAGTCATATCCTCCATCTGAGAGGACATCATCTGATCAGGAGTGCCAGACGGGGGGATGGGGATGGGGCCAGAACTGAAACAAGGGGTATACGTGTCACTGTAGCTGAATCACTGGATTGATGGCACCAGTGAACCAGTCAGTTCACTGCTGCTGAGCCACCTAGAGAGAGAGAGAGACAAAAAGGGAGAGAGAGAAATATTTAGTACAGTTCACTCTATGAAAAGTCCATTCCCCAATTTTAGGCAGTTGCCATGCCCCTCCCTCCAGAATAGGGTGGAAATGGCAGGCTTTGATCCGTACCTGCTGGTTTGGTGGTGGTGGTGGAGGTTCACTGCTACGATTTGCCAAGCGGCTGAGAATGTTGCGCTCCGACATTTGGAGTCGCACAGCCACTGGAGGAATGCGGGCAATTGTGGCAGGTAGCCGTGTCACATCGGCTTTCATGTCGCTCAACAACTCCTCTAACTGCTTCAGCACTGGAAGAAGAAAAAAGAAAATTTTGGACTTAACTGTAAATGTATTTCCCTTAAGGAAAGGAAGGCAGCTCATTTTGGGAAAGATCTCCAGGACCAGAAAGGCAACTTCAACTCTGAACTGGAGGAGGGCACATTCACCCGACTTCCTGAACACCAATGCTAACAATACACCAGTGTCTAAACCATACCTATAAGCAATGGCTATAGAGAACATGATAGAGATGGAAGGAGTGAAAGGAGTGACTCCAGTTCTAAATAAAAATATCATTGGCATGAGATGCAACATTACTATATACATACACCTTGGTATAATTGCCCTCCTTTCTTTAGAATAAAAATTCACTGACTTCCGGTTAGGCGTCGTGGTGTGACGGGCGCAGGAAGACAGGGCTCCCTCTCCCGGGTTCGATTTTGCCCCACTGGGGACTTTAAAAAGGGTCGAAAGTCGCCCTGGAGAGGCGACGAAAGAGGGGACTCTCATCGATCGCAGAGGGGCAGTGGCCCTTCCGCTGGATCCGAGAAAGCTGTCCAAACCGGCAGGGGAAAGACTGGCTACATTCGTGTGGCCAGTCAGAAGCTGCTGACAACTGAAGATAAGCACTAACCAGCAATTTTTAAGCAATGTGGATGGAACTGGGTGAGACTTTTATCTTCTTTTTATGATCTTAATATTATTCTCCTGGAAAAATGCCCAAAGGAAATAATTCTCCTTGATGAGAGAGGGAAGGGAAGTTTTTGCTCCGCTCCTTCAGGAAAAGAAAAGCGGCAAATTAATTACTTTGGGGGAAAATAGAGAAAACTGCAAGATCAATTTGGAGTTAATACAGATATATAGCTTTGAAATTTGGGGACTAAAAGTACCTTTGAGAATTTTTTTTTTTTAAGAAAAGATATATGAAAGTCTGCAAAATAGGCTTGGATTTGGAAAAGCTGGAAGACGGTGTCAACGACATCTATGGCAAATCACAGCACTACAATTTATTATGCTTAAGGAAAACTTGGCTTGAAGCCCAGACTTAGATAAGACTTTTTGTTGTTCCTGAACACTTTCACTTTTGCAGTCTGCAGCTGCGAAAAGGGGAAAAAAATGCTTGGGCTGCTTATCTGTATTAGGGATCTTATTGGATTATAAAGACAACATACAAAAACAAAATGGGTGTTTCATTCTTATCCTCAAATGGTAAAAAACATCTTTAACACTTGTCTCCGAAGCCCCCAATATGATATACCAACAAGAAAATGTTAATGAATCTCAGAAATAAATTCTTTCTATGTTGAAATCAATCCAAGAGACAATTGTTTTATTTCATGATGAGACTAAAAACAATGCAAATGAGATAAAAGAACAATTTTCTAACCTAAACTTACAAATCCAGACAATGATTACAAAGAAGAAACTAGTAACCCAGAAAACAGAAGGAAAATTAGAAGAAACGGATCCAAAGATGGAGGACCTAAAGGAAAGAATAGGTATATTCAGACAAATGAAAAATTAGAAGATGCATTGATAACACCGGAAATGGAAAAGATATCTTACTTGTCAGGATCTCAGAACACATTTAAGGATAAGGTAGAAGAGCTGATTGAACGGATGATAAAGTTGTTAGGAGAAATACGGAATATTGACAAACAAGAAATGAGAAGGGTGGAGGCTGTTTAATGAATATAAATGGGTTGAGCGTTCTTTCAAATATACTTCAATCAAATTTTCTTCCTCATTCCAAACAATATATACAAAAACAGAGGAAGAATTACTTGATGATTCCAATCCACTGACTTGGAAAGTTATTTGGCAAAGGAAGAAAGCTAGAGTAAGACCGAAGAAAATAGAGATTTTGACCTAATA